GCCTAGTCGACTTCGCCTGCTCCATCTGGGGGTGGTATGAAAGTACGAGTGTGTGGCAGTGGGCAGGACGGGGAGCAGCCAGGATGTCAGGACTGCCTGACCTTCCTGGTTATAATTTAACTCTGGCCCCAGGTGGGGCCGGTGAGTGGGCAGTGGGGCTCCTCCTCCTGGGTGGGCAGTGCTTGATCCTTCCAGATGCCCGGCTGGGGCTCCTGGCCAGGTCAGGGAGCAGGAAACCCTGCTCTCTGCTCCCATGACTCATGCAGCAACAGGATCTGGGTCCAGAGAAGTTAAGTGACAGTCTTGGGCTCTCAGCAGATGCCATGGGCCTAGACCTGGCAACTGCTGGCCCTGGCACCCATGTTGAAACCCGTGGGGCTTGTGCTGCAAGCTGGGCAGCATAGGCCTGGGCTCTGGGTTAGGAAAAGTAGGGGCTTCTGTGGAGTGGGGGGATGTGTAGGGCCCAAGAGAAAAGACCAGCCCCCACTGCAGTTTTCCAGAGGCCCCAGTGTGGGACCGCACATGAGAGACCCTCCTTTGCCCCGCCACTGCCCCCTCTGTTTCTGGGAAGAGTCTTACCCCTGTCCTAAATCACAGCTTTTCCTGGTGCCAAGGGATAGCCAGCATCCTGGTGCATTTAGCAAATATTGCAAAACTGAGTTGGGAAGGGTAGGGGAGGGCGGCAGAGGGCAAGGTGAGGACCATCACAGTCTCACAGCGCTCAGAGAAACCCCAGGCGTTTCTCATGCAGGCTGAGCAAAAATGCCCTCTGCAGGATCCCAGCCTGGGGTGTAACTAGGAAAATCCTCCTCAAGCCACTCTCTGCTGTGGGGAAGCCACGGGGCTGGAATGTTTTCTGTACTTTGAGCCGGAATCTGCATTTTGGTGACTCCCACTTGCCTGGCCTGGCTTCAGGAGGCCTCAAGTCTGTGCTCCTCAAAGGCAAAGTCACAAAGACGCTGTGGTTCTCCGCCTGCCACCTGGGCAGCACTTAGGGATGATGAATGGCAGGATGAAAGGATGGGGGCAGCTCAAAGAATAAGTCCCTTGGCAAGCCCACGTTCCCTGTGTGGACCCCAGGTACAGGGTGTACTCCTGAAGATGTACACCCTGGCATGCCTCCCTTCAGGAAGAGGGCCTGCTGGCACAGAGCTGATGGAGCGATAGCACTGGGGGGCGTGTAGGGGGGGAGGGGAAAGGCACCTACATGGAGAAGTTGGTGATGAAGGCTTTCTTGGGCAGCTCCATCTGGAAGGTAGCCTCCTTCACAGTATCGGCCCTGTTGACCACTCGGCTGGTGACGACTGTGTGGGCAAACCGGGAAGAGACCCTGGAGTCCACGGTGAGGCTGTAGATGTCAATATCATTCTGGACCAGCAAAGGAGAAGGGGGTTGCAGGGTTTCAATGCCACCTCGGGGTGACACTCTTCAAGAGTTGGCCCCAACTCTGGCTTCAGACCAAAGCCTGGCTCCCAACCCATCTGAGCCACACTGACCAGGCCTCAGGCTGAATACAGTGAGGCATCTCATATGTGAACATTTGTCTCAGATAAGATGTAGCAGTGTGCTTCATTCCCTACCCTATGGCACCACAGGGCAGGGGCCATGTCCTTCTTGATCTATGGGGGCCCAGAGCACTCCTTGGAGAAGAACAAGGGGGTGGGGCTGGTGAAGGCGGAGCCCATGTCTAGGAGAGGCATCACACTTAGCCTTTGGGCAGCGGTGAGGGCCCTGGTGGGGTCAGGAGGCTTTGCATGCTGACTTAGCTTTGCCCAGAGAAAGGGCAGTGATCAGGTTCTTTGATTTCTGGAGACTCTGGCCTCTTGGCAATAGGGAAGCTCCCACCAGTCTCCTACCAGGAAGCCCTGGCAGCTGGGAGAATTCAGAGGTAGACTAGAGTTGAGTCTGTAAGAGTTGGGAATCTTCCTCCTCGCCCCGCAGTAGACCCTCCCCAACTCACCCCCCTTCCGCAGGGCACTCCCCTGACATGTGCCATTTGCTCAAGGCCTCTGTTCCCCGAGGAAGGACACACGGGCACCTCTTAACCTGCTTGTGTGTGCCACGCTCATGCACACCAACTGGTTGGCTGCATGCAGCTGCCCGAACACAGTTTGGCACAGAGGTGCCAAGTGGCTTGTTTATGTGCTTGGGTATTTGCTCTGGGACAGGTACTGTCCTAAGCACTTTACAGATACAATGGGTTTGGTTTTTACAACTGCCACCCTCTGAATAGTTTCTACTATTACCCTATTTTACAGATGAGGAAATAGACATAGACAGCATAAATCACTCCCTGGAGGTTACTTACTAGAAAGCGGTAGAGCCAGGCTTGTAAAACTGTTATTTCCTCATTCGCAAAATGGAAATGATTGGATCATGCCCTCTATTAGGTAGGAGAATACCCGTAAGACCACTGGGGTAGTGCCTGGCGGGAGCTCTGCACCATTTTCTTGCAAACACACTGATGCACGCGCACTTGTGCTGACACGCTCGCACATGCGAAGGCTCTCCCCCACTTCCCAGGCATGCTCTCATCCCCCAGCTCACGCCACACCCATGGACACTGGCTACCTGTTGGGCAGTGGTGGTCTGGTGGACGGCCAGCAGTGAAAGCAGGACCAGCACTTTGCTGCAGGTATAGACAGTCCCTGAGGGCTTCATCGTGGCTCCAGTGTCTGCTAGGCGGCTTCTGAACTTGAGAGCAAGTGGGGAATTGATTAATAGGGGTTGCTTGTTTGCAACCCCACCCACGGGGTGGCAGGTTCTGGGAAATTGGGATCTACAAGCCAAAAAACCACAGTGTCCTCAGATAAGCAAATGACGAATGTCCTGTGGACCTTGGCTGGGGGCAGGAATATATACTGAAAAAAGGTAGGCTCAGGTTGGAGTGGGGGTACTGTGCCCCTTCTGCAAGGTACAAAACTCTTCCAGGCACCAGGACCCTTCACACCAGGCATTCCAACAAGCTCCATAGGGTGGTGGGGGGCGGGAATCGACAGTGAAGATGCCAGTCTGCTCTCCATAAGTCCAGCCTGGAGGGGGGGAAACGGGGATGGCAGGGAAGACTAGGGCTACAGAGCTACCATAGCGGCTTCCTGGAGGAAGGTGGCCTTGGCCACCAGGTGAGTGTGACTGGCTGATGGAAGGGCCCAAAGGCATTGGGTAATTCTGGGAGGTGTCTGCGTGGGGAAAGATCTAGAGTCAGGATAGATACGCCTTATTTCTGAAGTGAGAGGTGCTGGGCACAGGGCACCTCCTTCTCTCTCCTGGGGTCCCAGGCTGCTGTTTGAGTGCCGTGAACTTAGCCACCCAAGCAAGGCCCCCAAAACAATGGCGATTAGGCAATACAACAGTCATAAAGCCGCCACATCCTGTGGCACAGAGGTCTCCAGGCAGGAAGTTTATTGACAGGAGAGCATGGAACAGAGGACAGAGCTGACAGTGCCAGTAGCTCCTGAGGGGTGACTGGGGTGGTGGCTGGTGGAGCGGAGAGAGCCCAGGAATTGCAGGTTGAGAGAGGGCAGAATGCCGTTTTCATGAGGCAGAGCTGCAGCCAGACCCAGGGGAGCGCTGCGCAAGGGCCTGGGTTAGGTCCTGGGCTTATTAAAGTTGAAGCACTCTGCTTGTTGTGAAGTTCGATCGAGTGAGTACATATTACGTGCTCTGGGTGCTGCTGGAGCTCATGTTCCCTGGCGGCTCTGGGGAGTCTGTGGCCATAGATGGGTAAACATGAGTCACAAATGTGGTCAGGTGCCAAGTCCTGGATAAGGGAAGGACAGCTCCGTGACACCAGCCCTGAGGGGGCCAGCTGCCTTAGGGACCTATGGGGGGCCTTGGGGCAGCCAGAGGCTGGGGAGGTTTTTCTCCACCAGCCCTGTCTCCATTAGAGGCAGCAGCAGGCCTGGAGCAGGGTGTCACAGACTGGAGCTATTTCTACAGCTGTAAAGAAGACGCTCCCCTTCCTTAGCATGACTGGCCAGAAGCCTCTCTGCACACGTCTCTACTGCTCACCCTTTCGGCTCTGGATATGACTGGGACAGGGGAACATATCCCTTTCAGTGTCTGGGGGATGAGCCTCCCCATGGGGTCCAGCAAGGAGGACCAGGCCCTTCCTCACTGCAGGTCTGCTCCCTTGGGGCACAGAGGATGGGGCTAGCCTAGACCCAGAGCTATATAAGGAGGCCAGGCTGGCCGGGACTGTGGTAAAGGCTCTGGGCAGCTGGTTCCCCTGGTGTTGGGACAGGGGGGCATCCCCAGCAGGCCGCTGCCCCGAGCTAGACACCACAAAGCCCAGGCTCTGCCAGTCTATCTCCGAAAGGAGACACTGTCAGCCTGTCCATGGTCTTGCCATCACAATGGGACAGGCCTCTGTGTCTTTTGAATCTGGCAGTTCCAGGCACATGGGACAGAGGACTGGAGAGGGAAGGGTTCCGCAGGCTGAGAATCTGGTGTTCCCATGCCGCAGGTAGCCTGGTTGGAGCAGAACATGAGAGGCTTACCCTGCTGTTTAGAAGAGACAATGGCTCAGGAAACTTGACTGCCAGAGAGGAATCTCAATCTGGCTTTGTCTTGGAGGGGACAAAAGCTGGCAAGGAGGCAGTGTGAACAAAAGTGCAAGGAGAGGGGTTTTGAGGTCCCTAGGAGCCGCAGAGCCTGGGGGTCCTTGGAGGCTTCTCAGCAGCTTCTGTGGAAGGCAGAGGGAGAGGTGGTCCCTGAGCCCCTACCCACTTCACTCTGAGCAGTGTCACCATGGCCTGCTTTATGGAATAGGCTCCAGCTCAACTCCCCTGTGGTATAAAAGGGGAAATTGAGGCTCCGAACAATCTGGTCTGAAGTCACAGGTCAGCACCGGGTCTCCATGTCCAAGGCAGCATGTGCAGCGGCCATAACAGCACCTGTGCTATCCCCTAGGAGCCTCCCAAATGAACATGTTCCATGATCCCACCCTGTCCTCCCCCTCAATAGTGGCCACACCCAGGGATCAACCAACACCTTCCAACTGCTGGGGCCACTTGTGCATCCTCTTTATTGGGGCTTCAAGGTGCTGGTGCAGAGCCCTTGGCTGAAGGGTCAGGACTGTGGGGGAGGGTGGCAGCCCCAGAGATGGCAGGGGAAAGGAGGTGTTCTGGCATAAAAAAGAGTTCCGGGGAAAGGCTGCTGTTTCGGAGCATTTGGGCAGCAAGGGGAGTGGCATGCACTTCTCAGCCGAAGACACTCTTGGCGGGTCCGGCTTTGGGCTTCTCAAAGACAGTCTCGGTGCCTGTGCGGGTGCGGCTGAACACCGATGGGGCGGCCGAGCCAGCTTGCTCTGTGGGAAGGAGGTACAGTCAGAGGCCAGCCTGGCTTCCTTGGTGGGAAGGCCCCTTATGATGGGAGCACCCTTTCCTAAGCCCAGGAATGCTGGATTCTCAGAAAAGGATCCTTGACTGCCTCCCCCAACCAACACACACTTGCACCCCCAGCCCAGCCCCAGCCAGTTTGAGGACACTCACCACACTCCCGCATGACCTGGTAGGTCTTGGACTTGATTTCCTGGTTCTTGGTCAGGTTTCCTCGGGCCCCCTTCAGGTCCTCCTCCTTCACAGGGGGGCGCTTCTTCTTGATGGGGGCTTCCTGAGCACCAGCCTTGGAGATCCAAGATCCTCATCTTACTACCTGAGGCCTCAAGGTGGGGACCCCTACCTCTGTGCCTTGGCCAAGACCCCTCTTCTCTGCTCACTAAACCCAAGCCTATTCGAGGCTCCACTCCTCTTCCAGAGAAAGCCTTCCCAACTATACTCCACCTGCCACGAGTCTCCCAGCCATCTTGGTCTGACTTGCCCCTGTGCCCTTTCCCCATAGCCCAGGAGCTTCTGGGAGCAGTGGCTGCTGTAGCCACACACTGGTGTGTCTATCTGTTTGGCTAAGCTCAGGGCTGGGCACAGTGGGGAATGGCGAAGGAGACTAGCTCTGAGGGTGAGCAATACAGGGAATTTGGTTAGTTCCAAAACCTGCTGAGTGGCAAGGTATCCCTCAAGGATTGCCCCTCTCCCAGAAAAGCACCAGTATTTACTGTGTGCCTTTGGGAGTGAAAATGGGGTAGAAGGACTAGATGCCCAAGAGTTACAGTCTGAAGTGGGCACCCACCCACAGAGCAGGCAACAGGAACAACCCCTCTCTCTTGGCAGACTGGTCTGTCCCTCCAGGGTGGAGGACACCCAGGCTCAGTGTTTACCCTACCCCTTAACCCCAGGCGCCTATGAATCTGAGAGCTTCCTTCCTACGCCTGGTTGCAGGTGCAGGGATTCCCTCCCTCAGCCTGGGCCAGGCTCCTAAGAGCAACACACTGTACCCCTGTACAGGATGCACCCAGCTGTGTCCCTACAGCTTCCTGTGCACACACAAACAGCTTCCTGCATATACCATACATATACAGAGACAAACCTGTGTGTAGCTACAGAGTGCATAGCTACAGGGGCCGTAGCTACAAAGTCACAAAGCTGTACACACTGAGCTACATTAGCAGTGTGCACGTGCGCACACGCGCGCGCACACACACACACACACACACACACGAAGAGATCTAAGCCCCCACATTTCTCTTCACTCTTCCTAACAAACCATGGAATACCACCAAAGCCACATAGAAAAGTGGTTCCTCAGGGAGGGTCCTCCCTGAGCTCCCATCTCCCAGGGCTGCAGAGCCTCCAGTTCATGCTTGGGGCTCAGCTCATGACACAGCTGCCAGAGCTGAAAGTGTCCAGGACTCCACCTCCACTCCCTCTGGCATCAACACAGCCCCGTGCTGGGCCCTCCTACCTGGGACATGGTGGATGTTGTATAAGCGCTGGGTCTCCGAAGGCACCTCTCTGGTAAAGCAGCAGCCGCTGGAAAAGATCTGAGTGGAGCCCAGCCTTCTGGAACTTATATAGCCTGCTTGCTTGTCCGGGAGAGTCACTGCCCCTCCTCTGACAGGCTCCCTGATGATTCAGGTCCGCAGGGTTGCTGGCTTCAGAGTTTATTCTTGGAGATGAGAGGGACTCCGAGTACTGCTGTCTGGGGGCTGCAGCCCTGGGGAAAGCAAATGGCTGCAGAGACCCTGTGCCTTCTGGGACAGCTGCTTGATTTGCTGTGGGGAGGTGCTGGCACTGGTGGACTTGCTGTGTGTTTACGGATGTGGGTCCTGGAATGTGTGACATCTGAATTGTTCCTCTGCAAGCACTCATCCCAGTGTGTGGTGGGTGTGGGGTGTCCCTGAGGAAACAGAAGGCCCTAGCCAGTCCTAGGTTGGACTGCTCCAAGCTTGTTTTTCTTTCTCTTCCATCTCTTCCCCTGGATTCCAGTGGAAAGAGATTTTCCATGCCTGCATGGTGGCAGAGCAGGAGCTTCCCGTGCCGGTTACATTTGCTCACAGTGAGCTCACTGGGCCCTCACAGCAAACTCAGAGAGAGGGGCTACCACAGGTTCGCAGGTGGAGAAACTGAGGCCAAGGGGAGCCTGGGGAGTTGCCTGTGCCTTTGTCCTCTGTCCTATTCCAAGTGCAAGTTCAGTTAAGTGGGGAGTAAGGGGTCTGGAAAGGACAAGGGAGGAAACCACGCTTGATGGTCAGAGCACTGATGAGACAGAAGTGGGAAACAGGCTCAGGCTCAGGCCTCTGACTAGGTGAGGCCACCGCAGGGGGGCTGGCCTGCAGGACAGTTTCAGTTGCTCAAAGAGGGTGGGGGAGAGTGCAGCCCACTCCAGGTATTGAGCTGCAGAGACAAGAACAGGCCCAAAGGCTCCTCCTGAAGGTTGCTTAGCTCTCCTCTGCTAGAAGCTCTTGACATGCATCTCCCTTGCAAGGGGAAGATCCCCCAGGGCACAGGACATGACCCTAAGCCTGGGGTGGGTGTGGGGAACAGATGTGCGTAGGAGGTCAGGGCCCTCCCAGTGAGATCAGACATACCCAAGTCCTTTTCAGTCTATGATGGAGACTATTTTTATCCTTGAAAGCTCCAGGCAGATGGAACCCAACCAGGAACTGACATTTGGTTATCCCAAATGCCACTCCACTGCTGTCATACTTTGAACCCCACCCCAATCCCCCACCCCGATCCCCATCCTGCCATCTTGGCTCCAGGAGGCCAACATGAGGACTGCCAGGCTTGATCTGAGACAAGTGCTGACATGAGGAATGCCCAGGAATGGAACATGAGCCAAGAGGCAGCCGGGGGCAGGCCAGGCCTCATGGGGGCCTTCCACCGGCTCTGGGGGTGCCCTTGCAGATGGCACCTGGTGCTGTGGCTCTGCCCAGGCACCCACCTTCCAGCCCTGTAGCCTCAGGGATGAGGATGTGGGCTGCTCACTGCTTCTCAGGGGACTTGCTTTAATTCTCGCTAGCGAGGAAGTGGCAATGGCAAGAGCATGTTTTTTTTTTTTTCCTGGGCAGATGCTGGCTTCCACTTCTGTCACAAGGCTTTGTAAGGTTCCTTCTCACTCTGGTCCCTGGGGAGAACCTTCTAATTCACAGGGGAATCATTTGTGACCCTGCAACGCTGTTTCAACTCCAGAGAACACACAACCAACAACCACAAATGTGATGGTTTCTTTTTTAAAAAACTGTAATAAGATGCCAAACTTTATTGTAAACCATTTTACAATGTAAGTATATCATCTTCCCTTTCATTTCAAAAACATGTTTCTATGAATTCTAACACCACTGATTAAATACCCCCACTGGATGGCAGCTAAAGTGGGCCATGGTTTTGCTCGCATAAGTCTGACTTCCAACAAACTTCAGGAAAAGAAAAATCAAATTTAAAACAACCCAACCAACAAACCAACTCATCCACCTGGGAGTTCAAGGTGCTTGTGGCAAATCAGACCATAAGTCCACACCAAAAGCCAAGCCCCTCAGAGCTGCCAATTTCACAAAGTGAAACAGACAGCTCTGCACTCTTAACTACAAGCGTGTGAAACTTCTAAAAGCCAGCCTCACACTCTACAAGGCAGCTGCTCTGGCCGGCGGGAAGCTCCGAGCACTGCCTATCTTAGCCTGGCTGTGAAAAGGCCAGTGAACTGCAGTCTGGAGGGCAGAGTGGGCTGCGGCTGGGTGCTGCTCCCTCCAGGGCTCTGAGGCAGCCTTTGAACATCAACTTGGGGCTATAACCTCCAGGCTTACACTGCCTAGAGGAAGCCACAGCTTGGATATGAGCCTTTTAATATTTTCCCTGAAGAAAGAGGCATGACAGGTGACATTAACCCATGACTCCCTGTTGCCAGGGAGGGCACAAGTTAAAGCTTGAGAGGCCACAGACCCTCCTCTTGCATGTGTTCAAGTCAAGTGGACCAAGAAGCCACCATCACCTGGGCTCACCAATATCCCCCCTTGCCATTGTCAACACCCCTCTGACAGCAAAAGGACATCACAGTACCAACCACCTCTTTCCTTCAGATATGGCAGTTCTACCTCATTAGTTTATTTTCAATAGTTATAAGAAGTTTGTTCATGACCTTGTCTTGCATGATTCCATCACAGCTGGCTTGGCTGAGGTCCAGATTTGGACACATTGGATTGGTAGCACACAACATCCAGCCATCTCATCATTTCTCAAGCACGGTGATGGATGCCATGTGGCCAGGTGAAGAGCTGCACCTCGTAAGGCACCTTGGAGCAGGTGGTGAGGAAACTCATCCCAGGGAGGGAGGGCAGCTCGGGAGGAAGTCCTGACCATGGCCCTCTGATCTGCTCTCGTGGGATGATGCACCACAGAAGAGCCCCCAATGATGGCAGGAGGCACTTCTGGGGATACAGACTTGTATGTATGTACATGTGCGTACACACACACACGAGGAGGGGAAGACCAAACATGAGAGGACACACTGTCCAGGCCCACACACCAAGAGGCGCCCTTTGGTCAGACACCCTATTAGACCCCTGTCCCCTGGTCAGCCATCTACACTGGCTGCAGCTCAGAGACTAAAGCCCTTTCTGAAAATCAGGATACAGGGGAAAACCACCACTCACCAGCTACCTCTTTATTCCCCAAACCCACTGCTCACCGGGAACTGGGCCGAGCCTTCAGATGAGATGATCTGAGGTCTACATAACCCAGAGTTTGTTTTACAGCTTTCACAGATTATGGCTCTCCTATCCCCTGCCCTGTTTGGAAACATTAGGAGCTCAAGACTGAAAATGAAGCTCTGATTCTGAGCTCTAGGAAGACGGAAGAAACAGCTGCAGGCACAGGTTGTTCAAACCAAAATGAAACAGGAAGGGAGGGATTAGAACTGAGTCAGTGATGCCTTGAGGGAATGACTGTCCTGCCAGGAACATGAGTCCTGGTATTCTCAAATTCAACTCAGAATGGCCTGGTTCCAGCCACTCTTTCCCACTAGAGAGCTGGTGGGGAAATGCCGACTACCATAGCTGTGGTATGGGAGGGAGCACAGAGAGCCATTTTGAACAGGAAAGACACAGACCTCAGGCGGACTCCAATCTCAGGCACTGCCTGGCCTGCTGGCCATGAGGCCCACACTGGCAAAGTTGCCTCCTACTGCAGTTACAGTCCCTGCTCCTCTCAGCACCCTGGCTCTGCACTCCTGGTGGAAGATGGGCTGAGAAGGCCTCTCTAATGCTCACCTCCAAGTCCAGGACAGGCAGGACTCTGAGAGGCAGAGCTGGTAGTCCCCGGGTGCCTGGTTTAACAGCTGGGCTCACTCTCCACAATTCGGACCCAATGTGCTTAAGTGAAACACATATTCATGCAGGTCTAAAAGGAATGTTCTAAGTAAAGTGGCCTCCTCTGCACTTGTCTCACTTAAATTCCAGGCTGTCTCCCTTCTAGCTCACACCTTAGTACAGTGGCTTCCTGTTCCTAACCATCCCTGGCTGCCTCTGAGCTTGACAAACCATGAGGAGCACCCCTACCTTGCTGCATCCACAGCAGGGAAATTGCTGGGGTCGGTCTATTTCACAATCACTCAGCAAACTCTCAAAGCCACAGGGGCCTGTGGCCATGCTGAGGAGCAGGGGCCATGCAACAGGGAGGGGACATGGCCTAGAAGCACCTTGCCCTGCCTGTGGTTTACAGAGTGAGCTCTCTCACCCCTACCTGCCTTAGCCCCCTCAACTTTGGAGGGCGTGGAAAAAACGGTCACTTTGTGAGGCAGATGTTCTCCAGAACACTATGCAAAACAGATGACACTTGGAATGACAGGTACCAGGGCAGCATAAGAGGAGGTTCCTGGCGCTGCGTCGAGAGGCTGGCTCTGAAGGCTGCAGCAGCAGGGGCTGAGAGCCGAGACCATTTTAAACCATGATGGGAGTCTCTGCAGAGACTCCTCTTCTGCATAGGAGTCTGCTAGTCTTGAGTCCTCTGGACACAAAAGATCTCTTAGCTAAGCTCCTTTCTTGGTCAAGGTTAACCAAGACCTTCTAATCTGCCAGCAGAACACTAGAGCTCGTAGGCCCTGGGCAGCGCCCTTCCTGTTTCACACACTCTGCAGCTCCTGGATCTGCATCGAGACCAGCAGTGCCAAGCTTGGGTCTGACCTTCACAGAACCACTGGGTTTGCTGATTCCAGAGAAGGGCCATCCTCCTTCCCTCCCCAATCATCTGTCTCATCTTATTGCAGGGCATCACCAAACTATATTTAAAATAAAAAACTCCCAACCTTTTCCTCCTGCCAGCCCACACCCCGTGAAAGGCAAACAAACCCATTTCTTTGGGAATTAAAAACTTTTTAAATACAATAGTATGAAAATATAACTTAAAAATATAAAAGTCAAACAGCATATGGAAGACTTAAAAATCTCTGTTTTGCCCATTAGTCCCGTAAGTACTTTGTAGGAAATAAACATACCCCCAACCCAGTAACACTGTCACAGCTCATAAAACCAGCTTCAGAAATCAACAGTTACAAAAGCCATTCCAAGTAAGAAAGCATTCCGGTTCCAGCTTGGACAATGAGTCACTTTTAGCCTGAAGGCGTTCCGAGTTGCACTGCCCCAGCCCCGGTGAGGGGACCCACCCATGGCCTGTGTGCCTGTGCTTCCTTCCACCTTGCCACCCAGTTGGACACAGGGCAGGGCCTCGGGTAGCTCCCAACACTGCCTGGGACAACAAACAAACACAACTCCTTCCTTGCCTATTTGGTCAGTGTTTGTAGTGCAACTGAATGGGGACCTCCAGCCACCGGTGGCCCCCTTGGGCACTGGCTCCTCTTCCCTCTTTTTAAGTCACAGTAGTAGTCTGGGGCAGGTGAGAGGGGGCAGAGACAGCAAGAGGAGCAGAGGTAGAAAGGAAGGGCAGAGGAGGGAAGGAACAACGCTGCAGGATGACCTCTGCACACCGGCGGCTGGCAGGGCCCTCCCGTCACCCCCAGCATGGGAATGTGTCATACGGGCAGCCCAAAGCGGTGCTTCTTTTTCTTCACAGGCTTGAGGGGGGTCAGTCTGCGGAGGTCCTCCTCCATGTCGGACTCCTCCATCTCGTCATCCGCTGAGATCAGGATCTGAGGCAGTGCAGAGGCAGGGCCTGAGTAACCCCCAGCAGGGCCTTCTTCATTTCCCCTCCCTGGACCCTGGGCCCTTCAAGTCTCACTTTTTTTTTTTTTTTTTTGACAGAGTCTCACTCTGTCACCCAGGCTGGAGTGCAATGGCACGATCTCGTCTCACTGCAACCTCCGCCTTCTGGGTTCAAGTGATTCTCCTGCCTCAGCATCCTGAGTAGCTGGGATTAAAGGGGTGTGCTACCATGCCCAGTTAATTTTTTCTTTTGTACTTTTAGTAGACAAAGGGTTTCACCATGTTGGCCAGGCTGGTCTCGAACTGCTGACCTGAAGTGGTCCACCTGCTTCAGCCTCCCAAAGTGCTGGGATCACAGGCATAAGCCACTGCGCCTGGCCAAGTCTCACATTTCTTTACAAGACAGTGAGGGGAAGCTCCCTGTATTCAATGAGATATGCTAGCCTCCACAGGCCATGTTCACTCCAGGGACACTCATGGGCTACTGAAGCCAGCACAGAGTCGACAGACCCCTCCTCTGCTAATACTCCCCACTTCTCCATCGATCTCCAGGGGAACCGACCCCCACCAGGGCAAACTCAGCAGGGATCTGCAGCCTAAGGTCACCCTGGCTAAAAAAGCTCAACTATAACACATGGAATCCTTGAAGTTGCCTTAAATACTGCAGAGGCAGACTGAAAAGCTTCTTTCAAAAGGAAAAGAAAACATCCGTGGGCTCGGGGAGTCCAGCGTGGCTGCTCTGAACCAGCTCTGTAACTGCTGAAAACAAATAGCAGCACTTTGCTGTCCTAAGCCCCTGGAATGACTCAGCCACGCAGCCGGGGCAAACACACTCATCCCCTACCCACCCACCTGGCTCCTCAGATCTCTGAATACCAGGGAAAGGTTGAAACAGCTTATGTCGGGATCAGAAGGTTCAAAGCCCACCTGTGCAGGGAAACACCAACTCCTTCTATTCTAGGGCAGGGCAGGCAGAATCTTACCCCCTCTTCCTTGCACCGTTCCTCTGCGGGGCTTCCTGCCTCCAGTCTCGGCCCCGACCACCACACTCCCACTGCTCCCACCGCCTGTATGAGCACGTCCTATGCCTCAGCCCGGATCACACAGCATCACCCATCGAGCTCAGCCTGTGTCTCACTGCTTGCCATTCCATCCTATGCTCCAGAATACACGCCACAGTGCATTTCACATTATAGCCCAGACAGCAAACCATGTGACCGTGAATGCTCATGAGCTGCTGCTTCTGCCTTTAACACTGTCTGCCACTCAGCTAATGTTCACCAGGCTCTTGAATGACAGGTGCTAGCCAGATTCTAGGGACAACACCTAGAGAAGACACGGCTTCCCCTCTGTCCTACTCATCTATTGATCTTCTGAAACTCCCTCCAGGCTGGCCCAGGGCCCTCGCTGGGTTGTGTCTATGCCTCAACCTCAGAACAAATTACAGTGTCATGACAAGCTACTTATGCATCCACCTGCACCTCACCCGCACATCTGAAGGCCTCTCGGGGAAAATGTTCATCTCAGCTTTTCTGCAGCTCCCACCTGCACACAGTGCTCTCTGCCTCAGGAGCTTCCCAGGCCTCCCATGAGCTGGCCCTGCATGCAGATGTCGGGTGAGCACCGCAGGGCAGCCAGAACACATATCCTGGCCTCGGTGCCGCTATTCATGGCCACCGTTCTTCCCTGACGTCCACACCTTTGAACTCAGAAGACCAGAAAATAAGGGGAGATGAGGTTCCTCCTACAAGAGCTGGCTACCCCTATATTTTTGACGTTTCCAGCTGTCTTACCCAGCACTTTCCTTGCTCTTTGGTGGTGAGATTCAAATACCCTACTACTTGAAGGCCCATGACGGTCCTCGTCAGCTCACCAAACAAGGCAGCACCTCCCTCTCCTGTCTGTCTGCTCCACTGATGGAGGGACTGTCACAGGCAAGTCACCCCCATCTGCTCTGCCCTCCTGCCCTAGGCAGGCCCAAGGGACAGCAGGAACGGATCCTGGCTGGACAGAGCCGTCTATTCCTTGCTCGTCTCCGGCTCTGCCTCTTCTCCCCCCCTCTGGTGGCACTGTAACTCAGCACTCAAGGGAAGACCAAATGTAAACACGAGACCAGAGACCCCCTCGAGCCAGTGGTGCACCGGTTTGGCCCTCGGAGAGTCGGGGAGGCCCTACCTCAGACTCAGACTCCTCATGGGATGCGGCCCTCCGGTAGCGGACCTTGCTCCCATTCCTCGAGTCCTGGTTGGCTCCCCTTTCTTCTAGCTTAGCTTTCGTTTTCCCCTTTCTCATGAGGAAATTGTCCACTACCCAAAACATCAAAGCCTGCGGGAAGGAAAAGTGCAGGTTACTTTGGGATAAACCATTTTTCAAAGCAGAGCCGAGCAGCCCCCTATCCACCCACTCCCATTCCAGGTTATAAGAGCCAGAATTATGGAAAGAAAATCCCAATCCAATTGCCCTGCTATCTCCCAAGGCTTAGAAAGAGATTCCCAGTCTCTACTTCCTCGGGTTCAGTTTTCTGATGAATGTGTGCAAGGAATGTGCCCTGAGGGGTTTCTGTTGTGGTAACTGAGACAGCCTGTTTGGGGCCTGGAAGCAAGGTCTCTGGGCACCTGTTCTGGGCCCCTCCCATAGACTGCGTATGGGTGGCTGGCACACTCTGCCATCATCTGTTTGTCTCAGCTTCCCTCACCACTTCTGCTTCCTAACTTCTAGCCATTGTGCTCAGGAGCTTCTCAAGATCTATGGTCAGGAATGAATGATGGGCACGTTTGAAACGATCCTAAAATAGAAGCCGGTGCTATACAAGGGTGGGGCTTCTTGATGGGAGGCCCCGTGGCAGGGAGGGCAAGACCGCTTCTAGGTTCCTCCATTTTGGACAGAGGCCCTGCCTTTTAACGGAGTAATCCCGCCATTTCCAGGTCTGGGGGTGGGAGAGGTGGCAAACGGTCACACAGAAAGACCTGAGGGCTACAAGGTGAGCTTTCTGTCAAACTCAGAACTTTGGACAGGAACCCTGGCAGGCAGGGAGCAAACTGGGGTGAAAACGCAACATGGCACTGACGTTGACAAAGAAGGGGACAATCAGCATGACGATGGCCAGCTTCAAGTCTGGGTTTTCAATGGGATTCAACAGGGCCACCTGTAAAGAGAAGCAGACTCAGTGAGGTACGGAGAGGCCACTGAGAATGTGCCTGGGGTGGGTGGGTGGTACCCACAGGCCCTGAGGGAGCCTTAGCTTAGATGTTTCCCCCACAGCCCAATGAGAGCAGCACTTCATGCCCAGGGCTGCAGAGTTCCCAGATGAGACTGTCCACAAGGAACCCCTGGAGTTCACATTGAACAGCTGGTGCTTTGGCAGCTTTCCTTCAGTGTGGACTTGCAAAGAGCACGGGGCATACAGCCTCTGAGCCAGAGCAAAGCAGTGTCCACCAGGAGAGTGGAGTGTGGGCTTCTGGGGGCTGGAGGGGTGAATGCAGTGGATGCTCATTACAGACACTAGCAATGAGGCCCCAGTCTACTTTCTAACAGAAATCCTGCACCATAACCACCCCAAAAACACAACAGCTCTGAAAAGCCTTGGCTTATTTTCTTAAATAAAATTCAGCCACAAATAAAACCCAAAGGAGGCCAAGCTCTGAGCCACTTGTTCTCAAAGGCTTCTGGCTGGTCTCATATGGGCATGCGGAGATGAGGAGTGGGGGGTTTATCTACACAGAACTGGGGTCAAAGGGCAGAGGCCAGGGTGGGGGAGCAATGGGCTGGCCAGGAGCTCAGCACTTTGATGGTCACAGACTGTGGAAGCTGCCCATGGCACCAAATGGCTTAAACTACCAGCCAGCAGAGGTGTGTGACAGGACATTTGCCAATGTAGAAACATGTATGGTTGCAAGGCCCAAAAACCAACATTAGACGGTAGGCAACCCCAGGGCAGGGACTGTAATGCATTAGTTTTAGACATCCCAAGGCTTCATCTAGAACAGACATTTGAAGTGGATGGATGCTAAGAATGACAAGCTCTTTGGAGTAGCTGCCACATCAGACCAAACCCAGGACACATTCACAGAGGTAAAACAGAAGTTTGGTTTTTCTAGAGTTGGTGTGTGTGGGTGATGGGAGGAAGTGCTGTTTGCACAGTGTGGCAAGGAGCTACGAACACAGGGACGAAGCAAACCTTTTTCCACTGAAGTATTAGGAGGACGATGAAGACGACAGATTTTTCAAAAATCATGATCACGATGTAAAGGGCGCACTGCCCGACCCAGGCTCCACACTGCAGAGGGTCTCCTGCAGGGATAGGTGGATGCTTAGTCACATGGGGCCCAGGCATCTGAGTGAGACATTGTCCCCACCCCACTCTCCCACGCGCACCCTAGAGCCCTGGCTCTGAAGGTACTTTATGAGCCCCCCAAAGCCCAAAAGATTAGCTCATCCTTAACAGACAAATGCAGTGTTTAAATAAAATCAGAGAATCCCTTATTTGAAGATACTAAAATGGCCTTTGAGAGATTCTAAGACAGAATTTAAAAGCACTAAAGTTAGGAAGTACTCATTGCTGGAGCTTAGAAAAGCTGTTCTTTCTGCCTGCTGGCAGCAGCAGCTGTATGAAGCAAGACTGCTATTCTTATCCATTGTTGATTTTTCCAGTGACAGCAGGGCTGCCCCTCCCGTTTCGGCCCACGAGCGGACTGATGTTTGTGGATGATGAAGCAGGACCCAGCCGCTTTGTCTCCCATCTCCCCACCTCCCATCCCTTACCCCACTCCCCGGCCTGTCCCTGATGCCTCAGCCTTGAGAGAAGGAACGTGACTCTGTAGGAATTCAGACTCTGACTGTCCAGCATGGGTCACCCAAACACCTTGGCCAGGGAAAAGGAAGAGAGAGACTCTTGAGGCAAGGAGGTGGGAGGGATGTGCCGGGGCCCAGGGCTGTGACAAAGGTCCACCTGGGACCCCTTCAGTCACCATGTTTGAGTAACCAAGGGACCTAATAGTGGAAAGTGGGGGACGTGCAGGCCCTGGAGTACCTCCAGGACGTTTTGAAAAGGACCTGACAAAGAGAAGACCAGCCTCTTCAGGGAAGGATCCTGTGACACAAAGAACCCTAGGGTAGCCCCTAGGAGCCACACAGGCCTCCCCAAAGTGGGAGACCCAGGGGAGAGCACAGTTTGGGAAAGCTGCATGGGGCTCACCTAGGAAGCTCTGCCAGAGTGCCTGACCACAGCTGGCCAGTAGAGGGGGTACAGGGTAGCATTTCGGGGGGCACGGGGGTGGGTGGGCAAAAGCCCTAATCCAGGCTATGAGAAGAGAATGTGGTCCAAAGAGAAATCTCCAGCTTCTCGTTTGGCTTTATCGTTTCCGTAGCAATCCCTGTTTGGGCACCTGTGCTGGAGGCCCACACCCTGCCCGGGCCTGTCAGCTGTACACAAGGGAATGCCTTTATGCAGCTGTAATGGACAAAACACCAGGCCATTCCCTTTTCTGGAAAACTCTGGGAGAAGTGTGGCAGAAAGCAGGCAGAAACATCAGTCGCCTCTTCTGAGGTCTTTCTACTTTCACTTAAGGGATAGGAGACATTTGAGCCAAAAAACCCGTTTCAGAAGCACAATCCCTCCTTGTTAGGTTGTTAATGGGTTTTGCAATCCTTCTCCTTTTGGTAAGTCACCTAACTTTATTGAGAACGGTTCTTAAAACAACAGATAAACTTATTTGTGAGAAACCATTAAGTAAGTTTGAGGATGGTCGGACAGAGAAAGTGCCGCTAGGAAATCTCTCTGCTGAGTGTTCAGGCGCGAGCAGAGCGCATGGCACCGCTTATTTACTATCGAAGGACGTCCGCTCGCTCAGCGTGCTCACTCCATCTGCTCTTCAGTTTTCAGTGACTGACAAGGAGGAAAATGCTTTTCCTCCCATCTGCCTCACGTTGCCCCAATGTTGTAAGTTTCTGCTGTGCAACTTAGCTGAAGCTACCTCTTTAATTTAGATGCTAAAATAAGAAAGTTCAGAAACATGTGAAGAAAGAGAAAAAGCACCTGTAACCCCCTCTGGCACACCATTTCCTCTGGGCACCCAGATCTCACACAGCCATGGTTGTGGTTGGGAGAAGTGCATGTGGCTGCTGTGTCTCCTGAATCCTGTTTCACTTGTGAGTCTTTCAAACATCCCCCCGTCTCCTCTTTAAAGGACAGACATGCCAGGCAGTGTTGCCTGTCTTGCTTTGTCGTTGCTGTTATTGTCTTCTTAGAGATGGGGTCTCACTCTGTCATTCAGACTGGAGTGCAGTGGCATGAACACTGCTCACTGCAGCATCAAACTCCTAGGCTCAAGTGACCCTCTTGCCTCAGCCTCCCAAGTAACTAGGACTAAGGATGAGTGCCATCATGACTGGATAATTATTTAAATTTTTTTTTGTAGAGACGGGGTCCTGCTTTGTTGCCAAGGCTGCTCTTAAGCTCCTGGGCTCAAGCGACCCTCCCCTCTTAGCCTCCCAAAGTGCCGGGAATAACAGGTGTGAGCCACTGCACCAGGCCTTTGTGTGTCTTGCTTTTTACCACAATGAACAGCCTCAGGCATGTGGGTGTTTTGTTTGGGTTGAATTATTCCCTCAGTATAAGTCACAGGTATAGGGGCCAAAAGGAGGGAACACATCCGTGGTGAGAGGCTTCCAAAAGGGAGCATTTGGCCAGGGATGGACAGCAAGGCCCATGATGCACTGTGACCCGGCTGTCAGGGGTTCCACATGGGAAAGAGTGGCCTGGTAATCAGAGTGCAGATACCATGCGTCACTTGATCTGGTCCCAATCGCTGGGACTGTGTGGCTTATTTCCCTGAGTCCCACATTCTTATCAACAAGCTCATGGCCTTCTCTTCTAGGAACAAAAGACACATCCTAGAAAATAAGCCCCTCTTCTTCTTCACTTGCATGAGAAGAGAGCTCTGGGGCCTCTTGGAATTACTGCCTCAAACGGATGGGCAGGATAACAGGTATGGGAAGCAGCATAATGACCCCATCCAAATCTCTGGAACGTGTGAGTGTGTAGCGTCACACAGCAAAGGGGAATTGAGGCTGCAAATGGAATTAAGGTTGCTAGTCAACTGACTTTAAGACAGGGAGCATATCCGGAGTGTCCAGGTGGGCCAGTGTAACACAGGGACACTTGAAAGTAGAAGGCCACAGGAGGTCAGAGCAACTCAATGTAGGACAAACCCAGTGACTGTTGTTGGCTTTGAAGATGGAGAGAGGAGCCACAAGCCAAGGCTTATAGGCAAACTCTAGAAGCTGGAAAGGGAGAGAAAACAATCTTCCCAGAGGCTCCAGAAGCCAGCCCCATTGACACTGGGACTTTAGCCCGGTGAGACCCATGGCGGACTTCTGAACGAAAAAAGAGAATCCACTTGTGTTGTTTCAATTGTGCCATGAAGTTTGTGGAAATCTGTTATAGTAGCAATAGAAAAAACTGGTAACTGAGCAGACAAGCTATCCTGCCTCAGCCTGGGGAGGACTCAGGATGGTCCCTGCAGCTTGATTTGGAGACATTTTGGCTTGAAGACTCTGGCTTCAAAGGCAGTGGTGGGATGACCCAGGGCCAGCGGGGCAGGCCAAGAGGTTGAGAAGGAGGCTGAGACACAACCACTGTCTTCTTCCTTTCCATCCATCCTTGGGAATGCAGACAAAATGTGAGGGAACAGCTGGTAGTAATAATTCTTAGTGTATCCGAACCAGACCTGATCTTCACTCCCAAGTGACAGAGTGGCACCTGACTTACTGTGGTGAATCCACCTTAGCACTGGTCGGCTATAATAGAGATAGGAGCCCGCCTCCTAGAAGCCATCTCAACTGCAAAGGAGTAGTTGTGAGCACTGTCCGTGGAGGTGGTGGGAGGGTTTAGGTATCCTGGTGCAGCAGGCCCAGGCTCCCACAGCCACGCACTGGCTGAGTAAGCTTCCTGCATACTTAACTACTCTGGGTGCCCAACTATAAATGAAGAGGATGCTGCACTGGTCCCCCCTCTGTGGTCCATTTTGTTCTGCAGCTGAGGACTCAATGACTTGCAGCTTCTCAGAAGCCTTCCCTGGAGCCACAGGAGGCACATGCTGTGTGCTGGACACTATCTTAAGTCACTGACTCATCAGGCATCAAATAACGGGGCTAAGAAAAGCCCTCCCCTGAGCTCATCTCCCCTCAACAGAGACAAACAATTACTTAAGATTTCTAGAAATACCCAAGGTACTCATAGCCAGCTCCATGAATTGGCACCCCTTTTAAACTGTCAGTGCCTTGTGAATCTTCAGCCATCTAGGAGTGAGTGGCCTTGAGCCCAGAGCCATGAGCTCTTTGGGAGGCATGACTAGGAGAGGAGAATGGGCATCCCCAATTCCCTCTGCTCTTCCTCCCTCTTGTCCTGCATGCCCCTCTCGAGGCAAAGGCGCTACTGATGCTGCTCCACCTGCTAAGAGGAGCTCCTGCCTGCAGACAGCCAGGGCCAGCTGTGGGGGTGGGGAGAGCTGATACTACCCGTAGCTGTGCTGAAACCTCAGAGGGCAGTGAGGGCCTGAGGAAGGCACCTCTCACTGGCAGCCCCCACTGAGGCCACATCCAAATGTTTCTCATGCTCAGAGCCAGCACCAAGGTAGATTCCTACCCAAGCTGTATCCCATGGGGTCTGAGATGGGAGTGGTTCATGGCCGGGCCAGCATCCATAGGTAACTGTTTTAAGCCGTGTCTTTGAGTGAGTGACAGGTACATGACAGATGTTGGGTGGGGTGGGCCTGGAGTCAGGAGACAGCAAGGCAATTTGGTCCCAGAGGGGAGGCACCCTCCAGTACCAGCCGTGTGGAGTGGCCCAATGACAGGACAAGCACAGATGTGCAGAAGAAAGAGGGACAGGGCTTGCCACCTCGCTAATGAACACAAAATGAGAGCTGCCCCATCTCTCAAACCTGGTAGGTATGTGGTGTGAGCTCTATAGGAAGCTTGGCAGAATGAAGAGGCCCTTTGGCCCTGTGTGTGGGACTGCTGGTGTCTTCTAGTAGAAGGGGCAGACATCCAGCTCTCTCCCTGCATCTAGTGTCTCCTGCCTCCTGCCACCTTCTCTGCTGTAAGGTGATGGCTTTGGCAGTGAAGCAGGCACCCACACCCACAGGAGGGTGTGCTCATACCCAGAGCAGCCCCCTCAACCACACAGAGGAGACAATGGCAGCTCCCCAGATATTTCTGGATCTGTTTGCCCGGTGGGCCACGTAGGGCAAGGAGCAGAGACCCCCCAGCAGTCCCCTCGCGCCCTGTCTGGCATCCACAGTGTTACCATATTCGCCGAAGCGCAGGGACTCCCACTGCTGCCACTCCACCAGGACGCTGACAGCGCGCACCCCCACGTAGATGAGCAGCATGCCCACAGTGGCGTCCAGGAGGAAGTTGATGAGGTACCTGTGAGGACAGGGCACATGCACAGTCAGGGCAGAAGCTATGAGGTCAGAGGTCATGGCTGACACGGGGGTGGCCTAAGGGAAGTGGATGGATTCAGCATTTGTCTGGCCCCATTCTAGGGGCTGGCAGTGTTCATGTGCCAGTGCAGCTCTCACTTCTAGATGCCCCCCAACCATGTGCCAAAGCTCATCAGGAGCAGAACAAACTGAGGGAGGTGGGTGAGGGACAAAGAAACTTTAAAACTGCCAGTGCTCCTGCCAGGCGAACGTTCAACGGAAGACCTAGTACCTGGAAGCAGCCAGGGAAATCAATAGGAAAACAGAACTTAACTGATGACAGAAACACCTGTGCAGTGATTCCGTTCACGCCCTGACAGTCCAGCCCATGAGGACCCAGACGGTGCTGCTGCACCTGAGAGGTTCAGGAAAACAGCCTCTAGGGTTTTGTAGACAATGAGGGCAGGGCCACATGGCCTTCACCCTTCCCCATCTGCAGTCAAGCACAAGTAATACTTTTACACTTTTTTTGAGATGGTGTCTTGCTCTATCGCCCAGGCTGGAGTACAGTGGTACAATCTCAGCTCACTGCAGCCTCCATCTCCTGGGTTCAAGTGATTCTCCTGCCTCAGCCTCCCAAGTAGCTGGGATTACAGGTGCCTGCCACCATATCCAGCTAATTTTTGTATTTTTAGTAGGGTTTCATCATGTTGGCTGGTCTCGAACTCCCAGCCTCAAGTGATCCACCTGCCTCAGCCTCCCAAAATGCTCGGATTACAGGCCTGAGCCACCACGCCCGGCCTACACTTTAAAGAGAGACCTTTACTCCCCGTGGGAAAAGGCAAGATAACTGGGGGAGAGAGAGGAGGAAGCTCTGAAGGACATGCTACCTGGAATGTGTTCTTGTAAGGTCTGTTTCCGTCTGACAGAAAATCTTTTCCCTCACCAAAGAAAGGCCCTTTGTCACTCATCCTCTCTTGTGGGCCTTGTTCCTGATCCAGCTGAGCCCTGCTGACCATAAGCCCCAGCTCTCTATGGCAGACAGAGAGGAAGACAAGGGCACGGGGTCCAGTACTGACCCTCTGTGATACCACGTGGCTCTGAAATCCTTGCAGGTAAGCTCCAGGACACCACATGCCCCACCTGCGGTGAGCTTTCCAGTTACTGAGGCTTGAGACGTTTTGCGCAGCCTCACAGCCTCCTGTGCTGGGCTGGGGCTTTGGTGGTGTGCACAGCACTCTGATGTCAGAGGGTGCACCCTATGCTAGGGTGGGTCAGCGGGAAAACCAGTGCAAAAAGGGAGGAGACATTTCTCCTGCCTGCCCTTCCTCTGTAAAATCACAAGGGGTCACTCTCAGACCAGAGATGGCAGGAGCAGCAATTGCTTCCAAGGAAATTTGTCTCCGGCCTGAGGCTATGCTGCTCTCAGACACTTAAATCTAATTTGTGTCCAGAGCATCTCATGCCTTCCAGGAGAACAAGGACATATGATATACATACAGGCCTTACTTTCATTCATTCACTTAGCAAACATTTTCGAGCCTACTGTGTGCCACGCCTTGGGAATAAAGAAAGTTCTATGTTCCATATTCAACACAGGCGATTCTGGCAGAGAGCAAAGCATCATGAGGGCCATGGAGCCAGACTGGCTGGGCTCTGTGACTCCTAAGGGGTGTGAACTTATGGTATATATAACCTCTCTGCCTCAGTTCCCCAACTATAAAATGGAGGTAATCAAAATCTCTATTAATATATGGCAGGCTGCTTTGAGGACCAAGGGAGGAGGAAGACAGGGCCAGGATGAGGTAGGCAAGCCTTCTCTGCCACTCCACCTGCTAAGAGAAGCACCATTTGGGTGCCATCAGCAAGGAGGACAGAATATCATGGGCGGATTGAGGTCACAGTTGGATTGCTCTGGGGGCTGCCTGGAAGGCACGTTGCAGTGATAAGGTGGAACAATCCATGGTCTGCAGGTCAAAGAGGTCAATGATGGTCAACAACAGTTTTGACCCTGAGTGGCTGACACCACAGAGAAGCCCCGGTGTGTTCTGGTTCCAGCGGAAAGACATTCCTGTAGAGCGTTATCCTTCCTTGCCAGCGGCTGCTTGGAAACTGGGAGACATAAGGACACTAGAAAATCAAAGGACAGAACTTGGATTGATGAGCAGAAAGCCAGTGCTTGGGGAAAGTGTCACCATGCAAAGCCCTATGAGCCAACTGACAGCTGTGTATGTGAGCTCCAGGACAGCATGCACAGGACGGTCTTTCAGAGGAGCACAGACGAAAAGAGGAGCACCCCTTCCCCAATCCAGAGGGAACAGGACCAGCAGCAGAAAGCAAGGCCAGCCTGTGTTTTCAATGGAGGGGCAGCTGTTGTTTACGCTCAAATAGGGGCTACTTACAGTGAACAAGGGTCCTCTTCAGTGAGATCTGCTAGGTATACATTTGCAAAGTGGATGAATAGCATTCCTATGGCTTGTTTGGAAGTATCTAAAAACCTGTACAAAATAAAACCAGCATTGGTTATCAGCCTGACAGGAGGGCAATATCTAATTTGAGGAAAACGAGAAGTCAGAAACAGGAAAAAAGCCACCCCAACCTTCCAACCACTGGTCACCTCTTCCTGGGGTCTTCTGTACTAACTCAGGCTTGGCATCCCAGCCACCTTTCAAAGCCTTCAATAATACTGCCTTGGAAATCCCTAAAAGGCCAAGGATTGATATCTAAAATACATTTTTAAAAATTTTCATTTTCTTGCTTCAAAATAAAATGCTCAATCACTGCTTTGTGATGAAGCCCAAGGCGCCTCTGTTTTAAAGAGTTCCCGTTCAACTTCACAATGAGCTAAATTACGTGCAAAATTAACAAGACTTGCACAAATCCAGTACTGCAGCTGGATCCCTAAAGAAATTTCAGCTGCTGCCGTTTAAACAATGGGCTGGATCAGGGTAGGAAAATGTTTTCTATCCTGAATAAAAAGGACCAAAGAATAAATATTTGAGGTTTTGTGTACCATAAGGTCTGTCTCAACTCCTCAGCCCTGCTGCTGGGGAATGACAGCAGACATAGACACAGCTAATACAACCATACACACGGGGCCTGTGGGCTGCAGTGTGCCAGCCCCTGGACTAGATGACAAGCATTTCAAAAAAGAAAAAACAAGGGCATTAATATCTGAGAGGAGCTATCCCTCCGCCCATGTAGCAGGAGGATAGTGGAGATGGCATATGCCTTCAGTATGTCCTCTGTCACCAGCACCAGGCAGCCACTCTCCTCTGTGATCGAGGGATCTCTTGGACATGGCTGCCTGTCACAGCCTACCAGCTGGGCAGGGTCTCAGGACTGCAGAGGTCATCCAGACTGACCCAGTGACAGTGTCTGAAAAATCATTCCCTACACTCATCGGAAAGAGGGGTCACCAAAAGACAATGTATGTAAGACTCAGAAATCCCAAAATCTAGGTCTCTACCAGGTCCTGCCCCAGCCTTGAGGTGGGAGTCACATATTCTAAAGTTAACAGGGTTTGAGAAAAATCAATGGAAAATAAAAGAATTATCAACATTCAGCAGCAACATGTTTAAAAACAAGTAAGTACATGTTTTAAAATTTTATCAGAGTGATTACTGATGTTTCCTCTGAAGGAGAAAATGATTATTTTGTTAGGAAAGCTGAAAGCACAAGGCAGCAGTCTAAAACAGGCAGCTTCTTGTGGACATGGTGGTGTCCTGAAAAGCTGTCTCCTCTTAAGTGATGTATTAGATTGGAGTTTTGTCTTTAGAATCTACTTCTGAAGCTTTACCGCCATTTTACAAAGGAAAAACTGAGACCGCAGGATCATCCTCTGTGAAATAAATATGTGTTTGATATGTATCAAAGTCTATATAAGAAATATATGTTTGGTCTCTGTCCTGGTTTCCGACACAGAGCTCCTAAAACACTTGTGATCTCCTGAGTAACAGAGGTGCTAAGAGGAGTTTTTGTTCTAGTATTTGGTCTCTGGCCTTGGTCCTGATATGAGCACCTGAAACCCATGGAATTTCCTGGAAGACTGGAGCCTTTTACTCTAATGAATCAAGTCTTAGTGGGCTCCTGGATAGCTTCAGGATGGGCTAGTCACCAAAAAGACCAAGTCATGTTTAGAAGCTTTGAACTTTCAGCCATAATCGCCCATCCTCCGGGAGAATGGAGGGGCTGGAGGCTGAGTTAATAATCAATCATGCCTCCATGATGAACCCTCCATAAAAATCCCTAAACAATGGGATTTGGAATGCTTCCAGGCTAGTGAACACGTCCACATACTGGGAGGGGGGCATACCCTAATTTCTGTGCTCAGGATCCTTCTGGATCTAGCCCTGTGCAACTCGCATTTAGCTGTTCATCTGTATCCTTTATAATAAACCAGTAAATGTAAGAAAATGTTTCCCTGAGTTTTATGAGTCATTCTAGCAAATCAATGAACCTTAGCGGGGAAGTGGGGGGGTTGTAGGAACCCCTGACTTTATAGCCAAATTAGACAGAAATGTGGATATTCTGAGGACCCAACTACTTGCAACTGGCATCTGGAGAAGGGGGCAGTTTGTAGGATTGAGCCCATAACCTGTGGATTCTGTTCTAACTCCAGGTAGTTAAGTCTCAGAATTAAATTATGGGACACCCAAGTGGTATTTGCAGAGTTGGAAAACTGGTGGATGTTGGGGAAAGAGAACCGTCATATATTTGGTGTTAGAAGTATTTTTAGTAGAGAAATAGTTTTCCTTTATGCTAAGACCAAGAAAGACTTCTTTTGGAGAGAGGGGCATTTATATGCTATGTCTGACTGATCTCCAAATTTAGGTTAATTTTTGCCTGCACATTATACACTACAGAATCTAGGAATTTAAACCAAATCTAACAACAGGTAGACACAGATGAAGGAGGCAGCATCAGGGACTGATGTATTTGTGTATCTTCCATCTTTCAGAAGTGGAAGCAGAGTGATTCTAAAATAAAGGTAGGATCAAAAGTTAGTTGGAGAAACAGAAATCCTTTCATAATATACATAGTTCCTGATGGATTTAACTCAGGGATTCCAGATACATTACATATCATTGCTCACATTCCATGCGCTCACATTCCACCCCCAAGACCCCCAACATAGTCAAAAGCACTCCAGAATGAGTTAATACCTAAACACATACCATATCCTCCACGGACGTCTTTCATGCTTTGGTTCTCTGAAGCGTTTGACTGAAAGAAAAGACAGTCATCAGTAGCTTTCCAAAGTAACATAAAGCAAGATGCACACAATGAGCTGGGTTATCAGTCTATTCACTGTATACATAACCAAGGTAAGGTACTTTCTCTTTCAACACATGACAACATGCAGCAAGCCCAGCGAAGGTCACTGAGGTCCTGTGTTGCTGATGATCGGTATGGACTCCACAGCTTAGGGAGCAGGACTCCTCGTGACCTGTGTTAAACTGTATTTTCTCCTTTGTGACACACAAGGCTCACTCAGATAAAGACTGGTAACAACAAAGTGCAACACAGCTGCTTCTAACTTCGGGATGTGCTCATCCAAGGACAAATCCATCATCCACTCAGATGTTTACTGAGCGCCTACTCCAACTCAGGCACTGAAGATACAAAGGTAAAACCAGTTGTCTTGCAACCAGAGGGCTAGACACATACATATCACATACAGTGTGATATGTGCTAGAGAAGAGGAAAGTCTGCGGCAGAATGACGGATGGCGCAAGGGAAGGATGGCCAACCTTGCTGAAGGGATGGCTAAGGACCAAAGTGTCTGTATGTCTTCTATCTTTCAGTGAAGAAGAGACTTCACTGATGGGGTATGGTCAAGCCAAGCCATGAAGACTGGCTAAGAGTTTGGCAAATAGATCAGGGAGGAGAGAGAAGATACGTTCTGGGAAATATCACAAGCCAATAGGTACAGGAACAAAGCATGGCAGAGTGTGTTTGGCCTAATTTAATTTGGCTTCAATACAGCAGGTAACAAGGAAACCTCCTGGGGAAAAAACAGGTAACAGCGTGACAAATTGAGTAGGGGCCAAATGAGGGAGGGTCTTCAATGCCAAGCCAAGGAAACAGCAATGAATCCTGCAGGAAAGGAAAAGCCATGAAGAGTTCTGAGCATAATCAAAGACGTGTTAGGACTGAGTTTTAGAAAGGTAGCTCTATGGCTGGATGTGATGGCTCATGCCTGTAATCCTAGCACTTTGTGAAGCTAAGGGATGAGGATTGCTTGAGCCCGGAGTTCAAGACCAGCCTGGGTAACAGAGTGAGACCACATCTCAACCAAAAAAAATTTTTTAAGTATCTGTGGGTGGTGGCATGCATCTCTGGTTCTAGCTACTTGGGAAGTTGAGGTGGGAGGATCACTCGAGCCCTGGAGGTTAAGGCCGCAGTGAGCCAAGACTGCACCACTGCACTCCGGTCTGGGCAACAGAGCCAAAAAAAAAAAGAGAAAGGCAGCTCTGTTAATCTGTTAATTGAGTAACAGTGGATGTCTGGGCATTCATTCAGCAACAACCTGATTGACCTTGGATGGCAAAGAACTCACCCGATTTACGTTTGAACCTTGGGTCTGTGCAGACCGGACGGCCTGAACAAGAGGAAATGAAAAGTTTTGAAACTAAGCATCCCCCATTGAAGCACTAGGCAAGTACTTCCACAATGATTCTATCTACGAAAACAAACAATGAAAGTGCTGCCTGTGTGATGTTTTCCCACAGAAAAGGAAGAAACAGATGTTGACACAAGCCTGAAGAAGATGCCTCATTACTCCTGGTGGCAGGCAAAACCCAACTTCTGGCCAGCAAGGGTGCAGGAGAAGGGAGACAGGGAGGGAGAAAATGGTAGCCAAGACAGTAACCCCTACTCTCTGAATAAACACAGGCAGTCTGCATTTGCCAGGCAAGGACTGCCTATACAAAGAATTACAGTCACAAGTCTGTTGTTGAGAGAGACATGTTGATATAGAGAGACCAGTGAACAGGTGAAGTTGTGAGGTCTGCCATCTCGTTGACACATCACAGATCCCAAACCTCAATGCCAGAGAATCTGGGGTCGAGGCCAAGAGGTTCTGCTTGCCCAAACAGCTCTTGGAAGCAGGAGGCCCCTTTCCTTAAGCATGCCAGGTCTCACCTAGCAGCTGGAACTCAGGAAAGAGATGGGAGAAGGCCAGGACAAAACCATCTGGAGAGAATGCCCCCAGTCAGGGCCAGAGCCACTGCATGCTCATTTCTCCTTCAGGGGAATCTGTCCCCAGCACTATAAAATAAAGGATATCAAATATATCCTGAGGAGCATGTCCTTGTTCCTAGGAGATGCATGCCGAAGTAAGAGAGTGGCTGCAATTTACTTCTGAGTGGTTTGGAGGAATGTTACATATTATACATTATAATTATATATAAGAAATATATTACATTATAAATGGTTTTATAATGATAAGTAATAAATACAGCAAATTATATAAATCTGTTATAATTATACCATGTCAACATTATATATATATATAAAGGGAAAGAGAAGCAAATGTGGTATTATAGGCTGAATTGTGCCCCCTCCTTCCCTCCTCTAAAGTCATATGTTGAAGTCCTAACCCGCAGCCCCTCAGAGCATGACTATTTGGAGACAGGGCCTCTGAAGGGCTAATTAAGGTTTAATGAGAGCATGTGAGCAGGCCCTAATCCAGTATGACTGGTATCCTTATAAGAGGAGGAGATTAGGACACAGATGTGTGAGTGCACCAAGAAAAGACCATGCAAGAACACTCAGAAGGCGACCATCTGCAAACCAAGGAGAGAGGCCCCAGAGGAAACCCTACTTGCTGACTGACACCTTCATCATGGACTTCCAGATTCCAGAACCGTGAGAAAACACATGTCTACTGTTCAAGCCACCCAGTCTGTGATATTTGGTTACAGCAGTCTGAGCAAACGAAAACACTGAGCAAATGAAAACACGCAGTGTCGCAATACTGGCAAACCTAGGTGAAAGGTATTTGGCTATTCATTATACTATTCTTTAGACTTTTCTGTAAGTTTAATATTTTTCGAAAAAAAAAGTTTGGGGAAAAACATCCTAGTAGAATGAACTAGTGTAACCATTCAAACGTCAACACGGGCTGGGTGCAACGGCTCACACCTGTAATCTAAACTTAGGGAGCCCAACGCCAGTGGATTGCTGGAGCCCAGGATTTGAGATCAGCCTGGGCAACACTGTGAGACTCCATCTCTACAAAGAAAAAACAAAATTAGCTAGGTGTCTTGACACATGCCTGTGGTCCTAGCTGCTTGGGAGGCTGAGGTGGGAGGATTGCTTGAGCCCAGGAGGTTGAGGCTGCAGTGAGCTGAGATCACATCACTGCACTCTAGCCTGGGAAAGATTCTGTCTCTAAATAAATAAATAAACAAACAAACAAACAAACAAAAAACAAAGATCAACTTGGCAATATCTATCAAAATTTTAAATGCCCATGCTTTTTTAATCTATAATGCATGCCAGATATATACTATACAAGTATTACTGCAGGTATGCCAGGATGTATAGGAATATTCATTGCAATATTGTCGTAACTTAAACTGATGCCTGTCAGTATGGGGTTAGGTCTATATGACACACTACGTATGTTCAATATGTACTGTGTAGCCTGGGCAACATGATGAAACCCTGTCTCTACAAAAAATTTAAAAATTAGCCAAGATTGTGGTGTGTACCTGTAGTCTCAGCTACTAAGGAGGCTGGGGTAGGAAGATCATTTGAGCCCAGGAGTTCAAGGTGCAGTGAACTATGACCGCATCACTGCACTCCAGTCTCGCCAACAAAGCCAGACTCTGTTGGTAAAAAATAAGGTAGGCCAGGCGCAGTGGCTCATGCCTGTAATCCCAGCACTTTGGGAGACTGAGGAGGGCAGACCACCTGAGGTCAGGAGTTCAAGACCAGCCTGGTCAACATGGCAAAACCCCATCTTTATTAAAAATACAAAAAAACTTAGCTGGGCTTGGTGGCACATACGTGTAATCCCAGCTACTCAGGGGGCTGAGGCAGGAGAATCACTTGAACCTGGGAGGCGGAGGTTGCAGTAAGGAAAAGATCTTGCCTTTGCACTCCAGCCTGGGTGACAAGAGTGAGACTCTGTCTCAAAAAATAAAAAGCAACGAAGTCGATCTATATGGACTAATATAGAAGATTTTCAAATTATATTAATAAATTCTAGAATAATATGCCTGCTGATTCTGTTCATGTCCATTTTGAATGGATATACATTTATGCTGGTATTATGTATATTTTTTTCCTAGAAGAATACATAAATGACAATTAACAAAGGCTATGTTGGGCGTGGTGGCTCACACCTGTAATCTCAGCACTTTGGGAGGCCAAGAGCTTGAAACCAGCCTGAATAACAAAGTGAGACCCATCTCTCCAAAAAACAAAATTTTTTTTTTTTTTTTTGC